CCCTTGCACCAAGCAGGAAAGATAACGGGGTCAGGTGACCCCAGCAAGGTGACTGTCTAGTCTCCCTTTGAAGATTTCCAGGATAGGTGATTGCACCACCTCTGGAGGGAGCTTATTCCACAGTCTGGACACCCTGACTGTGAAGAAGTTTTTCCTGCTGTTGAGCCTGAATCGGTCTTCCAGGAGTTTGTGGCCATTACTCCAGTGTTTTCCCTTTGGGTGCCCTGGTGAACAGTTGCTCACAGTTGCTCCCTGTAACCTTTGAACAGGGAGAGGACAGCAACTCCAACGTCTGCCCTGGTGAGCCAGGCTCTGTTGGAGTTTGAGGAGAGTGGAGCTCACTCAGTGGGTGCTGATGACTTAGTTGATCTGCCGTGTAAATGTCTGCTTGGCACTGATGTGTGCAGCACATGCTGCTCTCAAACAGGGAATTGGCCTTTGAAAAAGTGCCCCTGCAGTGAAGGCAGCGCCTGTGGTGTTGCTGCTCCCTGCTGCACGGAGCTAACAGTCAGGTACTGCTGAGCTTTGTGGTATTCACTGCACAGCTCGAAACCAAGCCACTGTGCGGAGGTCTTTGTCGAAGTGCAGAGGTTCATGGGTCATGCAGCTGATAAAATGGAGAGGGAAGCTCCTGCTACTAATTTTGTAACCAAGCTGCCAGTGCTGCTTTCCTGAGGGAACACCTGACAGCACACATAAGCCCTGGATGTGTTTGGCAGCACATAATGGCAGTTTAAAAACCTTAGCACCTTGGGGCTTTGGGTCAGCTCACAGAGGGACTCTGTGTCCATGTAGGCCAGAAGTAGCACCTAGGAGCTGCCTGCCTGCAGGGGGTTGGCTTTCCAGAGCCTCCTTTCCAAAGCTGCTCATTAACCTGTGGCTGGGTGCAGAGTGTGAGTGCTGTACATCCCGGGACCAGGATGAAGCTTAGGCAGCCTTTGAAACAATGCTGCTGCTTGGCCTAAAACATGCAGGTGCCATTGAGACTGAGACCCATGCAACTGCACTTGCCGTGCAGAAGAGCTGTCCGTGGGGTTTAGTGTGCTACCCAGGGAGGGCAAGTGTCTGGGTGGATTCATACAGCTTGTGTCTGCTTTGGGCAGCCTCTGTGTCATGACAGCATTTTGTAGCCTCCCCACTACAACTGAGCTGCTGTTTCCTCTTCTGTGGTGTGTTTGGAGCAGGCTTTTTGGTTTCAGTCCAGAAAACAAGGCACCAGTCCCCCCAGGGTCGAGGCAGTAATTACAGCCCTAGGCCTGCCTACCTGTTTTTCTCGCCACAGTTGCCTCTGTGACTGGGCCCTTGACTTTCAGGAAAAGACTTCCTCTTACATGGACAACATGGGCCAGTGGCTGGGAGGGGGACCTGGTTTCTGGAGGGAATCGAGGTTGGCAGCTGTTGGGCTTAGTGGTCAGGCCCAGCCCCTGCCCCACTCCATGCCAGGCTGCCTTGCACGTGGGTCCTAACAACATTGTGTCAGACTAACAGCCCTTTCTCTTTGCCTTGCAGATTGGGCAGTATATCATGTCCCTGCCACTGCATCTCGAGCCGTTTGTTACACAGGAAGATTCTGCTTTGGAATTAGCATTACATGCTGGAAAGCTGCCATATCCCCCAGAGCAAGGTAGGATGCAGCTGAGCCAAGTGCCTGTGCAGAAGCCCCATGTGGCTTTGACATTGCAAAGGTGGAATGACTTGTGGTTTGGAGGCCTCTGAAGACTTATGCCCTAAGTGGTGCAGCACCCTGCTGCCTGCCCATATGGGGCCTTCTCAGCACCCTTATTTAACATGTAAAACTGCAGTGGCTTCATAAATGCAGGGTCTAGCTCCTGCTGTTGCTGTGCCTCATGCTTTCTGCCAGCTCTCCTCCTTTTCCCCAGCTCCCTTTCCTGTTCTGGTTTCACTGGAGTGCATGATCCACTGAAGCTGGTGGGCATCACCCAAAGGGTCCTGATGGGGACTAGTGTTCCTAAGGAAACCATTTTGTGCAGTGCAGTAATTGTGACAGTTTAGAGCTTTGAAGGCCAGAAAGAACCATCAGGTTGTCTAAGGCCATCTGTGTATTGCCAGCTGCCACATTTGATTGAAGTAACCTTAGATGAAGCCTGAAGAGTCAATCTAGACAAAGGCACTTCAGCCCTAAGCTGTGCTAGAGGCAGAGAACAGGAGAGACTGCAGTACCAGCCATGCTCGAGGCCCCTGCCTCAACTGGGAGCCATGTAGATCAGATGTTCCCAGCAGGCGAAACTTGCCCCTAGATCCCGACATCCTGACCTGGGGCACATCCCTCCCTGATCTCAGATCTTATCATCCTGACCCTGAGCACATGAGCAAGGCACCGTAGCCAGTTCCCAGGGAAAGAGGTTCTCTGTCACCTTACAGCACAGCTCACCCCTGTCCAGTGTCCCAGCGGCCTTGGCCTCAAAACCCAAAGTTCATCAGGGGAAGAAAACCCCATCGTGGACCCTGCAGGCAGCCAGCTGCAGCTCTATGGTACCAGATGGGATTATAGGTGTTATCTTAGTACTGTGAGCAGCCCAGGCCTGGGGTGCAGTGCAGGTGTCCTGTTCTGCCTGCTGCCTGTGAAAGAAAGGAGCAGACTGAGCCCACAGCCAGGAGGGTCTGTTTTATGGACAGATCACAGAGCAACTCTGAAAGCTGGCAATAGCTTCGGAAAACATCTAATCTCATCTTAAAGATACCTGGCAAGTGAGCCTTCCCCACCTCCCATTCCTTCCTCCAGCAGGCTGTAGCCATGCATGACTGCCCTCCCTGCTTTGCCATCACATCCTCTTCCAAAGCTGAATGTATTGTGCTGCCATTTCCAGCCACTGGATGTTGTTCTATCACTGCCAGCAAGGCTGGCAGCACGTGGGCAGTGTGGTGGCAGATTGCAGAGCACTTCACTGGATAGGCTGCACCAGACACTGATGGCAATGGGCTCTTGTTTCTAAACAGTGCTTGAACTCAGAGTGGGGGAATGACTGTTATCTAGGGCCCTTCTTTACATCTCCAGGGGCTGAGAAGATCACCAACCCTTTGGCCTCTTGTGATCCCCAGAAAGAAAGTGCTGTAGTTTCCACCCCATGTTCCATTGCTTTGTGGTTAAATTTGGGATTTCAGACAGGCTCTGTCTCTCCAGCCTCTTGTCTCCTGCTCTTCCATGGGCTTCCTGAGAACCAAGGCCTTGCAGCTGAGCTTGGGAAAGCAAGAGGGCCTGTGTCCTGCCCTTTAAAAAATTACCTGGATTCCTGCAGAACTGTGAGGACTCGCGTTTTTTTTTCCCACAGACATCCACTTTCTGCACCAGCCCCATGAAAAGCTTTTGGTGACCTGCAGGCTGGAAGCAGGGGAGCCCCTGGTGTTTTCATCTGAATGATACTGCTGTTTTGGCAGGACTCGGTTCAGCCCCCAAGTCCACGTGCCCCAGTTGTGCCCTTGTCCAAGGGCAGAGTTTGTAGAACTCTCTGCCACTCAGATTAAATAGGAAAAATGTTTGCTTTGTTTCGGCTGGGGCTCATTTGGGATTAGAAGTGTCGTATAGCCTTGGGAGCTCTCTCACTTATGATGTGGATCTGCAAACACTGTCGGTCACTCTGATTTCCCTGGAAAGGTAGCTGCTGTGAGGCCTGGCTGACAGTTTGCAGCCCTTTCCCTGGAGCATAGAGCTCACTTCTTGAAACCCAGGGAGTTCCCTTTCAGTGCCTTTCCTTAATCCCTGGAATGAAGTGTCTTGTCTCATTTTCACTTGCCAGTGATTGTCCTCATCTGTTGTGTGCAGCTAATCCTGCCTTTGTGAGCAGGAATGAGTACAGTGTCCTTCCCAATGGCGTGCCTGCATGGCTCATTTTGCAGTGGCTGATCTCCTCTTCATGTTTGCTTTCACAGACAATGGAAACAATGTGTGGCTTGGTGACTTCCTCCTCCTGTTGCTTTCTGAGAACACAGTGGCTTTAGCTCTCAGCATTGAGGATCATGTCTTATTAAAGTTTTCACATTTGAAGGGTCTTTATGAGTTTTGTAAACACCTTCCTTGCAGCAGTGAACAGTGTGTGCCTGGAACATGCCTCAGTATGTGAAGGTTTTGTAGACAAAGTTATTAACTGTTTCTTCTAACATAGTAAATCAGCATGAGGCCAGCGACCCACTGTGGAACAAGCCAGTGTGGTAAGGATCCCAGTCACTAATGAGCACTCTTTGCAGGGGATGAGCTGCCCGAGCTGGATAACATGGCCGACTACTGGCTGGGTTCCATTGCCAGGGCCACGATGCAGACCTACTGTGAAGTGATCCTACAGATCCCAGAGCTCACTGTCCACTCCACGAAGCAGCTGGCCACAGATATCGGTAAGGCCAGAACAGAGGCAGTCCAGAATGCTTGCTTTCCACTTGCAAGAGGAGGCTTGGAGAGTAAGGCTTATAGGACACCCCCACCTCCTTGGAGGTGCTGTTGCTGTCAGCCTCCATTGCAGTCTCTGCTTGCAGAGGGAATGTAGTGGGGCTTCACGTTGTGCCAGGCTTGCTCCATACCCAGCATATTGAGGCTTTTGGTGACATTGTGTTCTGGGCAAAGAGAGCTGACTCATGTCCCCTTGCCCCACCAAGCATCCTGCTCTGAGCACCACAAGCCACCTTCTTGGCACAGTGTGACCTTGTTTAATTACACTGAGCACCAGTTAGAACCCAGACCGCTGTTCAGGAAGCTGGGCCCTTTTGACCAGCGCAGAGATGATGGTGAGAAGAGAAGACGTTAGGCCATGGGAACAGCTTTAATCCTGGCTTGTTACTGTGCACTTTTCCTTGAGGCACGCACAGCCTGGTGTGGGGAAGGGCTTTAGAATGCCTTCCTCCCAGATAGCACTGTGGGGCAGTCCTGCTGGACCAGCACCAGAGACCTGGGGTGCACCCCTTAGTCCTATTTACTTCCCTTCTGTGTAGTGCAGAGGGTACCTGAGGATTCTTCCCAGGGCTGGAAACACTTGGAGCAAGTAGCATAAAACAACATCAGCTATTGTCTCCCCTTGCCATGAACAGGTGGCAGTGGGCTGGGGAGTGGAGCTGGGGTTATCTGGGCTCTTGAGCTGATGCATATTAGGGAAGAGTTCCTGCTGATGTAAGTCAAAGCAGCCCTAGGGCTGCTCTCAGTTAGGTGATTTAAAGGAACACAGAGGCCCGGAGCTGGTTGAGCGCTACTTTGGTCTCTAGTCTCAGCTGGGAATGGGTTTGGCATAGCTGAGAGTCCAGCCATGAGCTTGTCTGGAACATGGAGGTACTGGCTTGGCAAGGCTGAGCCGTGGCTGCTCCCAACTTCCACATTTAATCCCTAGTGGCCACTGAAGGGTCAGGCTGTGGAAGGTGGGACGCTGATCCTTCTTCCCAACAGTCCCTCTCCCTGCAAAAGGCCCTCTGCAGTTCTAAGCAGGTCTTTTGCCATATGTTTTGGGGCCCTCTGCTCCTTGCCATGGTGCTGAACATCTGGGACAACTGCCATGCAGATGCAGGTTTGAGTGGAGCCTGTGCAGTTCCTGAAATGCAGCTAAATGTGGCCAGGGAATAAGACCCCCATCCGCCAGGCAGCACAGCAGGAGCAGGTGTCTGCTGGGATGCAGCTGATGGGGAGGCTTCATTGGGCTGTGATGCTGTTTTGGGAGCTGGTTCCATGGGACGTATCGCAACTTTCAAGTGCACATATCTTTTCTTTTGTAGATTATTTAATAAATGTGATGGATGCCCTCGGCCTTCAGCCATCCCGGACACTCCAGAACATTGTCACGCTCTTGAAGACCAAACTGGAAGACTACCGGCAAACAGCCAAAAGCATGCCCCGCAGGTTAGCCAGCACCATCGCCACCATGAGAGGCCTGGAGTACTGATGCGGAGGCTGTAACAAGCTGCAGCTGCAGATGGTGTCCGGACCTTGTCTGAACTGAATCTTTTCTCCGCAAAAGTTTCTGAAGATTATGGGACCTGATTGGGGGAAAGGGGGTTTATTTGTGAATTGTTTTAATAAAGGTCGTCCTTTGGCAGGGTGAAGCGAGCTTTGCATATCACTAGAGATGAAATGGAAAGGAAAAGTGTCTTCATGACCGCGTTTCCCAGTGACCCTCTGGGTGACCTTGAGGTAGATGTGGTGTGTGACTAGAGGCACTTGACACCGACTAGAAGGAACATGCTGCATGACAATGAGGGGAGTGACTTTCAGAGCGGTCTAGTCAATGCCAAATCTGAAATTACAGGGTATGTGTGGTACGAATCAGCTGAGTAAGGACTCAGCTAGCTGGAGGCAATGGCCATTGCTCCAGTCTTTCATTATCTACGATCTCAAGGAGGCTGTGTCTTGCCAGTTAGCAGGAAAGGCAAGACCAAACTAAGCCCTGGCAAGAAAACCAGTTGAGTAGGTTGTTCTCATGAGATTCATGTTTTCTTCCTTCTGAAGCTATGTGGCTTCTAAGGAAGCAGATGCCACAATGTTGTAGTCATCATGTGAAACGCAGTGAGCCTTGGTGTGTTAGTCTTTGTAGAAAGGTTTTCCTAGGAACACTTCCTATGACTTGGCTTCAGGAGGCCGCTGTAGAGAATGTAAACTCTCCTCCCTGCATGCTGGTCCTGTGGGACCATGGTGGGCACAGCCCCTGCTGGGGTTGACTCTGCAGGGCTCCCTCTGCAAGTCTGTCGATGAAGAAGAACTCAAGGGCTAGGGGTTGGGGCTGCTTGTGGGATTTTGCATTAGAAGAATTGCATGAGAACATCTAACCCATGCGTCCATCTGAACGGCTTTGCCAAGCTGCCTCTGTGCATGCGAGCTGGTGCTATGGGGCCATTTCAGCTGCATGACGACCTTGGCCAGTCTTGTGGGAAAGGGTTGGATTCTGAGTGCAGACCAGGAAAATTATTTTTGGGGGTTTCTCGGCTGTGAGCCTAGACTTCAAGGGCTTGTGGCTTGGTTGGGTAGTGGCTGTTTCGACCACGTGAATATTACAGCAGTGTGTGGCTGGTGTCTCTACTAGCCCAGTACTTTCCTGTCCTCATCCTAGGACACAGGGCTGTGTTACAGACTGTGCTCTTCATTGGATGCCCCCTCATTAACATGAACAGCATGTGCCATATCTGGCGTTTACTCCCAAGCTGGCCAGTGGGTTCCCAACAGGAGCCAGGCAACAAGAGCAAGAGGCCCCCTGTGGCCGGGGCCTTTTCAGTGTGTTGGTGTCTAGACACTATTTCACCCTGTCTCGTTTGCTGCTTTGCGGCTCTTGGCTTGTTAGTTTGGCTCCCTGGCAGGGCTGGTGAAATTGCACCAGGCATGCTAGAGCCTGGAAACTCCTTGTGCTTTTAGGTATGTGTGCTAAGGTAGTGGTATACCAGAGCAGGGAGACCTCAAGCTCCATCTCCCCCCCTGCATGCAGAAGGGATCCCGTCTTAAGCTTTGTTCCTGAAGGTGCCTCCAGCTGGCACTGCAGCAGAGCAGGGAGCTCTAGAGCTGGCTCCCTCCTTCCTCTCAGGCTTTTACTGGGAGGGTGTCCATGTTGATAGGCCTTTCATTCTGTAAGGCCCATCTGAAGGCCCAGGCCTTAAATGTCCATGTGTGGTAGGCTCTGCACAGTGTATGGTCCAAGGTCTTACTGCTTTGACAGTATAAAGAGAGACAGGTGCTCCACTCAACAGGCCTCTCAGGATCATAGGACTTGGGGTGTGACAGCTGCTTCTGACTGGAGCAAGCCTGGGCGGTGTGGAGAGCACTGCCCTTCCTCTGATGGTGATCCCTTCTATCCTCGGGGGCCTCCCCACCATGGGGGCGCTGGACAGCCATTGGTTCCAGTCTCCCTGGTTCATATGGCCCTTGGACAATGCAGTGTTTGGCACAGAATCAGAAAATTCAGGTTGAAAGGGAGTTCAGGAGGTCACATCTAGTCCAACCCCCTGCTCCAAGCAGGACCAGCCCCAACTACATCATCTCAGCCAAGGCTTTGTGTACCCAGGTCTTAAAAACCTCCAAGGATGGAGAGTCTACCACCTCTCTGGGGAGCCTGTTCCAGTGCTTTACTACCCTCCTCATGAAAGAGGTTTTTCCTGATATCTTCCCTTGATTTCCTTTGCTGCAGCCTGAGCCCATTGCTCTTTGTCCTGTCATCTGCCCCCACTGAGAACAGCCCAGCTTCATCCTCTTTGCAGCCCCCCTGCAGGGAGTTGATGGCTGCTATTGAATCCCCCTCAGTCTTCTCTTCTACAGACTAAATCATCCCAGTTCCCTCAGCCTCTGCTCACCAGAACCATTTTTGTTGCCTTCTGCTGGACTCTCTCCAATGTGTCCACATCCTTTCTGTAGTGGGGGGCCCACAACTGGACACGGGACTCCAGATGTGGCCTCCCCTTTGCTGAAGACAGGGGAAGAATCACTGCCTTTGATCTGCTGGCAGGGCTCCTACCAATGCAGCCCGTATGCCATTAGTCTTCTTGGCAACAAGGGCACACTGCTGGCTCATATTCGGCTGCTTGTGAACTGTAACCCCCAGGGCCTTTTCTGCAGAGCTGCTGCCTAGCAAGTAGGCCACAGCCTGCACTGGTGCATGGGATTGTTCTGTCCTAAGTGCAGGACTTTGCACTTCTTGTTGAACCTCGTGAGATTTCTTTTGGCCCAGTCCTCCAATTTGTCGAGGTCTCTCTGAACCCTAGTCTTACCCTCCAGCGTATCGGCTACTCTGCCAGGTTGGTGTCATCTGCAGACTTGCTGAGGGTGTGCTCTATGCCATCTTCCAGGTCTTTGAAGACATTGAACAAAACCAGCCCCAGGACCAACCCCTGGGGCACTCCACTTGATACTGGCTGCCAACTAGATATTGAGTCAGCAAGCCAACTAGATGTCTCAGCCCAACGATTCAGCCAGTTTCCTGTCTGCCTTACAGTCCATTCATACAACCCGTGCTTCCTTAGCTTGCTTGCGACAATGTTGTGGATGACTGAATTAAAAACTTTGCTGAAGTCAAAATATATCAGGTCCACCAGTCTCCCTGCATCCGCAGAGCCAGTCACCTCATCACAGAAGCCAGGACTGGTTGGTCAGACATGACTTTCCCTTGGTGAATCTATGTTGACTGTTTCTAATCCCCTTCTCCAAGTGCTTAGAAATGTATTCCTTGAGTACCTGATCCATGCTTTTTTTCCAGACACCGAGGTGAGGCTTTAGTTCCCTGGATCCTCCTCCTTCTCTTTCTTAAAGATGGGCACTAGATTTGCTCTTTTCTAATTGTCCGTGGCCTCTCCTGATTGCCATGAGTTTTCAAAGATAATGGTTGGCGGCTCTGCAGTCACATTGGCCTACTGCCTTGGCACCCTCGCGTGGACCCCATCCGGCCCCATGGACTTGTACACATCCAGCTTTTCTAAATAGCCCCTAACCTGTTCTTTCACCTCTTTTGGCTGCTCACCTCCACCCCAAACTGTGCTGCCCGGTGTAGTAGTCTGGGAGCTGACCTTGCCTGTGAAGACCTAGGTGAAAAAGGCCTTGAGCACTTCAGCCTTTTCTGCATCCTCTGTCCCTAGGTTGCCTCCCCCATTCAGTAAGGGACCCACACTTCCCCTGACTTTCCTCTTGTTGCTGACATACCTGTAGAAACCCTTCTTGTTACCCTTCATGTCCCTTGCTAGCTGCAACTCCAACTGCGCTTTGGTCTTTCTGACTTCATCCCTGCATACCTGAGCAATGCTTGTATACTCCTCCCTAGTTGTTTGTGCAAGTTCAAGTCTCCAGTTGTTTGTCCATTTGTTCTAGTCTCCCTGGACTGTATGGTCCTTGAGCAGCGTGGTGTTTAGCATCTCCTTAGCATGCCTAGACCCAGGACATGGCTTAGGGCCTGGCCCAGCACAGGTGGAGCTGGAATGGGCTTTGGTCCTGTTCCTCATGCTCCCTCTTGCCTCCAAGGCTTCCAGCTGCTGAGAGCAGTTCTCTAGCCCTGCCTCTGTCTGCGCTTGCCTTCCAGCATCTTGCCAACTGTGGTCAGGAGCAGTGCTGTTTGCCCAGGGCAGGCCTTGCCCTGCTTTCAAGCCTTGCTCCTGCTGAACCAGGTCTGAGCTCTCACCCTCCCATCCCACGGGCACATAACTCTTGCCCCCCACTCCTTACCCTCTTCTGCCTTTATCCCAAACTGGCAGCTCTTTCCCTTAGCATTTGTCCCTGCTCTTCCTGTCCCTCTTGGGAACAAACCCTCCCTGCTCCACTTCACCTTTGGCTCCTGCTGCCACTCTCTCCTCCCGGTCTGCTTGGAGAGTTATCCTTTCTCTGTGCTGCCATCCCAGCACGGCTTCTCAGCTTCATCACTTCCAGCTGGCTTCTGCCCTCACTAATCTGCAGTGAGCACCCTGCCAGGCCCCAGGCTGCCCCAGTCCCACAAGGTCCTCTCTCTCCTGAGCTTCCATGATCTATGTCTGCCCTTTGTGTTCGGGGGCTCCTCTCCTCTTGCCCCTGCTCCTCAGGGCGCATTACTACTGAGGTGTAACACCAAGCTCTTCCCCTGTCTCCAGCAGTAGTTCTTGCAGGTCCTGCTGCTGTTGCAAGGCACGCGTCTGATCCTGCACCAGTGCAGAGGGTTGGATCAGCCTCCCCGGAGCCCCTTCTCCCCTGCGGCTCTCGTGTATAGCCCCCTACTCTGGTGTTCCCTGAAAGCAGGCTCTTCTGAGGCAAGGAGAGATTCTTTCCTTCAACTCTCCCAGCCACATCTGGGTCACCTTTTTTTTTCAGTCAATAAGAAATCTGCTGAAAAATGCAGTTTTTGGGGGTGGGGGGGTGAAGTTCAAAGCTGTTTGCAAATTTGGATCAAACTGGGCACAGGGCTCAGGCTGGAAAGGACAGAGGAAGTTTGAAAACATTGAAATGTTGTAAAAGTTACTGCTCAGACCTGCTCAGGAATGTGTTGCATTCAGAAGCCTGCCGGACTCCCGCTCAGCTGCACAGTTGGTCCAATACAGGAGGTTACCCTAAGAAATCTGTGCTTTTAAGAGGGCCTTTGTGTTGAAAATGGACCCAATTTAAAAAGGAAAGA